AATACAAAAAGTGGAAGAAAACAGCTTAATATTTAAGAAATTTGGCAAAATGCACATAATTTTACCCATTTTGTCTCATAACTGGCTTTTTAAATTTTTTTTAACTTGGTGCAGCCAACGTGAAACAGGAAGTGACATTAAAAGGGAACTCGTTACATAGGGAAAGTCCCTGGTCTCTGCTTATTGAAACAAGATTGTTTGAAGTCTGACTCTTTTTCATCTTTCTGATAATGACACAAAATGATCTAAAGAAACTTTAGATTCTTCTCTACTGTCTGTATTATTAGCCATTGTGGGAATGCTCTGTTTGCATGCAGGCATTTTCCTTTGTCATCACTTACTGTTTCTCCACATACAAAGTACTAATAGCTCAGCAACTGTTCATCTCAGCTACGGAAGTGAAAGTGTCTCAATTTTCAAATTAAAATAGATTAATAGAAATGTTTTTCATTTTCAAAAAAAGCTACATGTTTTGACTCATGAATAAAATTAACATTAAATCATCCAAACTGCGTTTTCATTTTTGTATTCAAGACTGCTCAATTTGTAAATTCATTAAAATGATAAATAAAATAGCGTTTAACATTTGATTTTCAAAATATATCTCTGTAAAAAGTGACCAAAAGCCATTTTGAAATATCAAATTTGAAAATTACAATGAATTAGCAGAAATGCTTTCTCATTTCAAAGTCAAAGCTGCATTTCTGACTCATAAATAGAATTGTTAATAGATCATCCAAACTGTGTTTCATTGTCACCTTAACACTGCTCATTGTGTGACACAACAACAGAGAAAACTAGAGGAAACTGACAAAGTCCATGTTCAATAAACTGCTTTTTCGTTTTCCCTCCTCTCTCTCGCAAAAAGTGTTCCCTAAATCATTTAGAATTTGCATTTCCATGCGGTGCAGGAGAGTGACGTCAGTGGCAGCTCTTCCTCCACTGCCTCACAGAGTAGTACCTGGCTGCATGTGGGGGAAGAGTTTCAACTGACGATAGCCACTTTTACCTATTAATGAGACACTTGGCTTGCCATAATGTTCGAGGGCCCTCTAGTAGCTGAAAATGTTAGTGTTCAATATTTTCAGGCAGAATGAATGAAATAATCAGATCTCAGCCAAAAATTGGGTTATAAATATGGGGCGAAACATAAATATTTCGCTTTGCTGTATAAGTCATTGGCATGCTAATTTATGCAAAAAAAACAAACGATTTATACAGCAAAAAATACGGTATGTAGATTTCCTCGGTTTATTCCCAGTCTGTTTTTACACAGTTGTTTTTGGAACATTACACTTCATAAACTTCTTGTTGTTTGTGTCCACAGAGCAAAGAGCCTCCAGCATATCTGATCAGTCTCATGAGAAAAGGTATTTATGATTTAAATCTCAGTTAATCATGCTTATAAACTCTGTTTACCTTTTTAATTGAAATCAATTAATTTTTTATTGCCTGCCACTGTAGGCAAAATGGGATCATGTTATGTGTGTGTTCATTTTTATGATTATTAGCAAAATATTTCATAAATCAGTGGATTGATTTTAATTAAACTCTCAGTAAGTAATGAATATAGAAGGTGTAAACGTTTGGAGTCAACCCAAGTCAACAGGCAGCTTATCGAACTTATCCAACTGAACGCAGTCATGTTTACGTTCAGCTCAAATGTTGTATGGTGGTAGCTGAGAGGGATTCATCACACATACTCTGAGCTTTAACATTGAGGTTTACCGTAACTAAAACGGCTACAACTCACTCTTTTTGTTACAAATAAATACATTTGAAATAAACAAGTAAATTCTGAGTTACATTAAAATTCATCTAGCAGTTTGTGAGATATTTTGCTAAAAGACAATAAAACACACAGACAGCATTTTGAAGGCAGGAGAATATACATTTCTAAGAGTGCCTTCTTCTGGCTTCTATAATCATTTGTCTGGTTATTTTCTCACAAACTTAAGTTGCTCAGCAATATGTTTGATATACAGTATTTTTATTTGTTTATTTTTGATTTACTCAAGAAATCCTTTGAAACCAACATCTATTTTTCAAGGGAGCTTGGTCAAAACGGGACACCATCAGAAAGATACAAATTCACAAACACCACAGTTATCAGAATACATTGTGGATAGAAAAGTATACCATCTTATGATTGATTGAAAAGTAACACTTTTGTTTTTGAACATTAAGGACATTTTATTTTGGCTATATACATACATATATTGGGAAATTGGAAATAAGCTGATACTTTCATGAAAAAACGATTTTACAGATTTTTTTAGTTTTAACAACAATTGACTGAACTTCATTTATATTTCAGAGCAATACCTCATAGCCAGTTAAAAACAAGTTTGTATTGTTACTAGGATATTGTTCAAGGGGATGTTTTTCAATCAAATAAGATTGGAAAATTGAAGGTGCATTGTGACTTTATGACTGCTTTTGGGGTTCTTGCATACTCAGATCATAGGTGCTTCCTGGATGTTGACTGACACATGGGCATGCACAAATCAAAAGAACCCCAAGTAGATAATGTATATACACCCTGTTTTTAATTGCACTTCTGCAACAACCTCTTCAGACTTTCTGTCCTCTGTTAAACATGTGATCTGCAGTAGCATAGAAGAAATCACCTCAAAAGCCTCTTGCATTCTTGAGTTCACCATTATTAAAGAAAAAAATCCATCACAACATAAAAATGTTTGCATAAATCTAAAACAAGTACAAAGTCCAGCTTCTAATTAATTATTCTTAAAGCTAGTTCAAGCACAAAGAATATTAATTGTTTAATTAAAACGGATTCTTTCTTTTTCGAGTTAAATTTCTGCCATGTGACCAAGATAACTTGTGAGGAGTGGAGTGTTTAATCAGTGACATGAGACGCCATTTTATCTTTGACCCATAAGAATAAATGCGGTCATTTATTTAACAGAATCAAAATTTAACATCAAACATGTACACATTGATTTGCTGATCTGTTTCTGATTAATAAACTTGGCAAGCTTTACTAACAAGACAACAGAACATTACTGATTGAGAATGATTCAGCTCTGAAGGCATCTAGCTTGATTTACTGGCGAATAGCAAAGTTTAAGAGAGGAGAAATAGATTTATGGAGTAAGTTTAGATTTAAGGATGAAAGTTATGTGTTGAACCAGAACATTGCACCCTTCCTCCGACATCCAGCTCAGCTTTCTGGTACACTTCAGGACGTCAACGGCTTGTTACCTGAGATGGTGGATACCTCCACTCCGGAACAGAAGTCCATTAGTACGCTCCCTTTTCAGCGTCTCCAGTTAAAGTAGCTGGGGGTCATCAGAAATCGTGACGAAGTACTCGGTTCAACCGAATAAGCTTCCTTAGAAGTGGAACATTTACTGCTTGGGTTGAGTCACAGCCGAGGCAGGCTGTGACTACGCTGGACTGGAGAGACCTTTGGCACATAGTCAAATCTATCCGCTACTTAGTTGAGTCTCATCTCCGACTGAAAGTTCCAGCAAGACTGGAAAAGACTAAGACTCGTGAAGACTTCGAAAAAGACTTCGACTGAAGACTGAGTTCCAGGACTCAGAAGACTGAATAGTTCCAAGAAGTGTTGCCTTTTAAAGGGGTATCCACTTCCTGTTACGTGGTACTTCCTGATTGGTTGAAACAACCAGCAGGGGTGTGGTTTTAGTGATGTTAGAGGGTCACTAGAAGTCAGGAGACAGCAGGAATGTTTAAGAACGGTTAGTACAGACGGAGAAATGTTTATGAAGAGGTGAGACAAAGCAGGTGCCAGCAGAAGTTATTTACTGTCTGCGAGTTTTAAAAACAAGACACTTGGTTCTAATAACTCGTCTCTGTTTGTCTCTGACTTTTGACCGACATTCACTACTACTCCTCATTCAGACAGAAGACTAAATGCACACTTACTTTGCAAATAGGCATTTAACTGTATGATCAAAAATCTAATGAGGTTTAAAAATCATTAATACTGTTTCACAGTTGATTTAAATGAGTGGTTTACTTCAACATTTAGAAATTGTATGAACTAAACACACTTTTTGATTATCAAGATATCTTAAAATAGTAATGATAATGTAAAAAGAAGAGTGTTCTTTCAATGATTAATTCAGGATACAATTAAATAGTCTCTTGATGAGATAATTTGTATTTCTGGATTCAAATCAATGAAATAACAGTTCCTGTCCCGTGAAGGTCTTCAGAGACAGATTGTTGTCAGAGGCCTAGTTCACTACACACTCTTCAAGAATAGAAGACTTTGAGAGCTTTTAACTTCCCCACAGGAAAAACTAAATATGCTCTGATGGTCTGAAGATTCTTATATGACCGAGGTACAGAATAAGATACATTGTTCCACTAAATTAAGAACACCTCCCAGAAAATATAATAAGAAGCCATCTTGAGGGCTGTAACGTACAACAGGTCTTTGTAGTTATTTAAAATTTACACAACCAGAAAGGGAGTTTACACAAAATGGCTTTGTACATAAAAATAAATCAGTGTTTGGTCTACTCAGGACATTTTATTTTGAAAGAAGACCCCTTATTAACAGATTGTAAAGTACACAATGATGGGTACTGCACAATATTTTGTTCAAAAACTAAAAGAACTACAATATAAATAATCTAAATAACCAAATGTAAAGGAAGCAGTGGGCATTTAAATAATGCCATCATAGTCACAGACATTTCAAAAATAGCCTGGAGTTTTCCTATGATTTATTAAAAAAACAGACCCTAGTTAAGTAATTAAATCCCACTGTAACCTTCAGATTTTTTTTGCTTGATGTTTTACGTAATTCTTTACCAAATGCTTTAGACAGTTAATGCAAATGCCATTATGAAAAACAGAGAATAAAACAGGACCTAAAACTGAGCCTTGAGGGACTCCTTAAAATAAAAAAAATAAAAAACTGTACCTTCTTCAGAAACGTTCTGCGATCCATCTTAAAGTGAGCTTTTAGGCTACCCTAAAGCCACATCACTCAACCCAATGTCATGAAGTCTGTTTAACAGGCTCACTATTATAAATGCATATTATTGATGTATTTGCAAAGTTCATAGTCAATTTTCAAACAAAATGCTACTTAATTCTACAAGTTTTAATTTAAAACATAAGAAAAAGCAATAAAGAGTATTCGAACATAATAACGTGAAAAAATGTGTTTTTCCCAGTTCATTGTTTAGGTTTTTCTACTTCATTTAAACTTTGTCCTCTTTTGTCCTCCATGAGACTACCAGACCTCTGAAAGATAAGATTTTAGCTGCCATCACTGTTATTTATTGCCATTTTACTCATCTATGCTCTGCAGTTTTTTTTTTTTTTTTACATTTCAACTTATTTCGAGTTAGGTATAATCTCCCTGATCTATGAGGCCTCTCGAACATCAGTATGTACGTCGATGAGTATGCGCTGTGTTTTTCAGGGAGTTCAGGTTCCGTAAACGTGCCCAGTCTGCTGATGATGAAAGCAGCATGGAGCTAGCAGAGTCCCTCCAACATCTCACCTTGTCTGAGTTTCTCAAAGAGTATGTCTTTTCCAACCGCTCAACACAAGAAAACTAACCCACGATTACCACCTGACAACAAACAGTGCAAAGTGAAATCCATTTTGTTTGCATGTTTCTAATTAACAGTTCTGCTTCATCTACAGTTGTTTTCACAGCTCTGCTTGGAAGAGAACACCACCATCTTTTCTACTTTACTAACAAGATTTTTCTGAATGTAAACTATATGATGTAATGGTTTTCACCAGAAAAGCCTACTTGTGCATATTCACTTTTTTGAACTAACCCGTCTGTGAAATTAAGAAATTTAATACTCCTTTGGATTCACCTCCCGCACCTCCACAAATTTGTAGTCCTTCATTTTGTTGTCTTGTTGACCCAACACAAGATGGGACAAAAGTTTTTGACAGCTGTGTGACTACGTGCTAACAATGATCTTGTTAAAGTCTAATGAACTAAATGTGATTGTTTTTTACAGGATTGAAGAGGAAGAGTTAGAGAAGTGCAGCATTCCTACCAAGACAGAGTCGGAGAAGTACAAAGTAATTCGGACTTTTAGTTTCCTCAAGAGCAGGATGTCCAGTACCCGCAACAAGAGCAAGGTAAAACAAAAGCACAATCCCTCAGTTTAGACTAGAATACTCTCTCTCTCTCACATGTGGTATTACTCATCGGATCCATCCTGCTTTACACTAGGGATGGGGCCGATCCGATCCAGTATCGGTATCGGCCTCCGATACCAGCATAATTTACTTATCGGATTTTTCCGATCCACCTGCCGATATTTCAGATCCATGATGCATGTTGGCTTGAAACTATGGAATGGATTTCATGAACGGCGGCTTGTCTCATGAATCCAGAGTAATAAGACCCGCCTCACATTCAGGAAATCCAGTTCATAGTTTGCAGCCAGCTACAACGTGAGTGCTGAGTTAGCAGCACTGTGGCTAACAGCTAACAAACTTTTCATCTAAACATGTCTGCTGTGTGGAAGTATTTTACACTAAACACCACAAAACAAGACAGCATCGTGCAATGTCTACAGAGCCATAGCGCCACATTAAACTGTGGTAAAGTTAGTTTTACGATAGACATTCGAGCTCCGGGGCATCAGCGGGGCGCTGCTCTTTGCTCAACCCAAAAGAGGCGACTCGACCCCGGCCAGCCGCTTCCAATCTGCCCCGCTCAGTCTGCCCGTCTCTGAGGAGGGACAGACTGAGCGCGGCTGCCCCAAATCAGGCTGCTTGCTTCGGATTGAATAAGAAGAATACATCGCTGAAACCACGGAGCTCAAATGTTTACAGAGAAGTTGCTAAACTTCATCATAATTAATGACCAACCCCTATCAGTTGTAGAAAACGAAGGATTTCTCAGCTTGATTCTTGCAGTCAAGATATAGTTTACCCTCCAGGAGATATTTATCAGTATAACAGTAGACAATCATAAAAAACATGATTTGAAAATTATATTAAAAACATAAACAGCTACATTATAAAGTGATGTAAAATACTAAAATCAGGAACATGTCTGTTGGTTTATGCCATGAACTTAGCAGATGTTTGAAGCCATTTAACATTTTATTTAATTTAATTCATTTATTCATTCATTTAAAAGAAATACAATAAAAAAAAATCATCAAAAAGAAAACATTGAATGAAAAGAGTGCAGAAAGAAGAAAAATAATTCTTATATCTGCCCCTTATTTAAAAAAATATAAAATAACTTTAAACAATCACTTAAATTAATCACTTTAATATCCACTTTAAAACTAGGAATAAAAAGAAACATGTTTTGTGTTAGCAGAATTTAATTCCAACTTTAAAACTTATCCAACATTAATAAAACTTACCTCAAGTTGCCTTTTTGGACATGCATGCATATATTTGTACAAATTGTACCTGAGAGGAGATTATTACAGCCTCATGTAAAATCAATGATGATGATGATGATATCGGAACTGGATCGGTATCGGCCGATATTTAGGTTTAGGTATCGGGATCGGATCGGAAGTAAAAAAAAAAGTGGATCGGTGCATCCCTACTTTACACCCAATGTCATAATGAGAAATGTATTTCTAGTTCTGGTTAGGTTCTGAGCCAGCTTAACCTAAATAAAACCAGTTCAGAACCTTAAAAGCCCAGTTTGGATTCATCTTAGCAACACAGTCTACAAGCTATTTCTAAAACAAAGATTTTTTAAAGAAATATATAGAAGCAGAGCAACTTCTTACTGGCTTTTCTCAAACACAAAAGCTTTAAGATTTTTTAAAAAGATATATATTATTATTGTTATTTTTGTATTTCACTGAAAACTAGTGACTTTATTATGTGCTTAGGCCTGTTGTGATAAACAATAAATCAATGAATCGCATGATAAATGAAAATTATCAACCTCATTTTCATTTGCCTGTCTTATCGTTTCTTCGTGTCTCTCTCTTTCTACTGAAGACACTGGATGACAAAAGGCTCAACCCTGGTGCTCTTCACTGACCCCTCCCTTTCTCTTTTCTCTTTAAAATCAGTTTTAACGTCCAAAATCACGTTGTTGGATCATTAAAAGCAGATAAGCTGAGAAGCTAAGCTACGAGCTAAGCTAACAGGCCGACAAGGAAAAAAACCTCCGTCTTGTCGAAGCTCCAACATTCACGTTTGAAACCCGTGCCTTCATGTAAAAAGTTGTTTTTCTCTGCAAAAAGAAGCTGAAAACTTGTTTACTGATTTTTTATTAAAAGCTTTGTGTGAAAAATGCTATGCTAAAGAGCTCAAACCACACCGAGCGTCCACCATTTTGAGAACTGAAGAGAGACAGCCCCATGTCACGTCAAGGGGCCTCCCTCCCATTGTTCTTAGAGACATGCTGCTCGCTCCCTCACTATCCATCCTTTGGTTCAGTCTTATACTACCATGCAGTTGTCAAAAAATGGTACAACATGCAAAACTAATTAACCCATATTTCTTTTTAACTTTGACAATAATTACTGATTATTGTCAAATTTCAAACAATATTATTGTTTATTGCAATAATTTCCAAGACAATTAATCATCCAGCAAAATTTGTTATCGTGACAGGCCTATACGTATGTGCTGCACACTCAGAAAAGTTCACAGGTTGGGTTTAGTTGGATCTTATCACAGAGATCCCATGTGTAGTATGTGGGGTAACTTTTAGTTCTGTTTCCAGTTCTGTTTCTTCAGTGGTTTTATTTTGTTTTGTTTGTGAAGTACCTTATGTTTTTTCGGTGAAAGGTGCCATATGGACAGATTGGACCTATTTTACTGATTTAGATAATATAATACAGTAGGGGTTAAGATTCACAGCTCCAGACTGTTTTTACTTTCTGTGAGGTACAAGCAGGAAATGATTCTGGGAATAACTCAAGGTCGGAGTGACAGAACAAGCACAGTGTCCGGCCTTCTTCCTTTTAATGATTAAACCCCGTGGTTGAGTCAGCACAGAGGCTGGAAACCCTCCCCAACTTGCATTGTTGTTTGTGCCATGATCAATTTCCTGTTACGGTGGACTTTCTTACTGTCTGGATAAAGGCAGGGGTTGAACCCATGCTCTTTTACCCCCCAAGAGGAAGCACAAGAACTTTACAGAAACCTTTCCAGGAGGTCGAGTGCTACTTTTCACTTTTTGTCTCTCTGTATGGCCTCAATGTTGACACCTATGTCACTGGCATGGTTTTCGAAGGGGAAAGGGAAGGACAGAGAAGCCAAGGACAGGCAGCTAAATGGACATCGGTTTGCATCAGGCTCCTGTTTAGGCTCCACGCTGTGTGTGGTGTGCAACAAACCAGCTTCTGGAAAAGACCTTCTGCACTGTTCAGGTCTGTGAAAGTTCACTTCAGACAAACAGTTTGTTCAACAGATTCTTTAAAAATACCTTTATCTTTCAGGCTGCACTTCTATTGTCCATAAGGGCTGTAAGGAATCCATCCCACCGTGCCTGAAAGTGAGTGTTGTTCTGAAATGACTGATTTTGCTCTTCTCTGCTGGAGCCCTTCTGTCTATCAGTTGTTTATGAGCTTTAATCACAATCTCCTTTATATTACTTAGAAACTTCAGGATAAATATGCCATAACCATGGTGAAAAACAAGACTGCATCCCTCCCACAGAGTGAGTTTTGAGTCACCTATCACTGAATTTTAGCCAGTTTACACCAGGGGCACTTCCATAAAGTTTTTTTAGGGGGTTTGCCAGCAGTTGGGGCCACAAAAACTAAAAGCCTTATCAGAATAACAGAGCATGTCCTGTTCTTTCTTTAAAAATAATATTATCATATAACTTAATAAGATCTTGAATTCTGGTATAAGGAAACTGGCTTTCTGTGCCATAAAGTTTATTTTTGTCAACTTAGAGTTGTTGTCTTATTTTTTTATAGAACTTAGCATTTAGGTTTTATGTTTTTAATTTAAGTTTGTTTTTAAATGTTTAAACTGTTTTATGTTTATGAAGTTTCACATACTATAAATAGCTAGAAAAAAACAAAAAATCCACACCAAACAAAAGCGTAGGACTCCAAGGTGGACCAGTGGGAGAGTCAGCAAATTCATAGAACCCTCTGGACCCCTCCCCCTCCAGTGGCACCCCTGGTTTACGACAGTTTTCTGGAGCATTAGTTTACATTTTGTTTATGACTGCAGATGATTATTGTAATAAAATGAGCTTTGTCTGTTTGAACCCTCAGATTTCACAGTCAGAGACAGTCCCACTCAGTCTGTGGTCCATATGTCTTCCTCTCAACCTGTCATGATCCCAAAGGAGAAGAAGGAATCTGTGACACCCTCATGCTCTCTCTCTGGAAGTCTCCCCAACAGTGACAGGTCAGTAAGGACTAAATTTATTCAATAAAATGATGTGATGAGACTGGTAAAACAAGCCTGTGTATTGTCTTTGCTACAGTGTGCTCAGTGAGAGTTCAGAGACAGAATCTGATGCACAGAAACTGAACAGCCAATCAGAAGAGTTCCTGCCAACTCCACTGTCCTCTGCCTCCAATGAGTCATTCTTTGGAGATGGTATGTAATTATTAGGCCTTGTTCTCAGCCAAAGATTGTTTTTCCTGCTGGAAGAATGCAAGAATAAATAGGTTTAGATTTTTATGTTGGTAAAAATTTTAGTTCAGGTTTTTTTTATTTGAACAAAAAAAAAAAGAGAGAAAAGTGAATTTACAACGTACAGATTACAAAAAATTGAATGGTTTGAGTATGAACTGGTAATGTGAAAATACTCAT